TTCCAAACCCGTAAGACCTTCGTTCATCTTCTGAACACGAATTAAGATATTTTTTGATGAAATGTGAGAGCTCTCAGACCCTGCATAGACAACAACGCAACTGTAATGTTCCCAGGTCCAGAAACGTAGTAAGGACATCGATAAAACAGTCCATGTGACATCAGTGGCTCAACTTGCAAAGCTACGAGAATACTTTTTGAGCGCAAAGAAAACAAAAATAACATTATTTATTCAACAATTCTTCTCCCCAGAGTTATGTCTTCCGCCATTTTAGAGAGTATCACAATGCATACGCATGCTTTCCCCTAAGCGTAAACAATGCTGAATACGCAAATTACGTTAATGCGCGCGCTTTCTCCCCCGAACGTAACCAACGCTGACTACGTCGATTACGCTCTTGGGTACTCTCCAAAATGGCGGAAGACATCAAACTGAGAAAAACAACCCTAGAGATAAAGTGACAAACAAAACCATTGTTAGGTATGGTAGATAGAGATTATAGGAGAGGCAAGGATCCAAATGCAAATCTGTTTAATGAACAAATAAAATAAAACAAAGGACTAAGAACACTGAACTTCAAGAAACCAGAGACCATCCAGCCACAGGCCAAAACAACAACTGACAAAGAAGAGAATAAACACAAGGGCTAAATACTAGGGCTGTGAATCTTTGGGTAGACAGCGAATCAATTTGATTCACGATTCATAGGCTTTCAATTCGATTCAAGAACGATTTTTGCAAATTCAGAATGATTCGATTCAATTCACAATTAAATTCGATTCGATTCGATTAACGATTTGATTCTGCATTCTTTAAGTGCATTCACAGGATTATTTAAATGCTTCCGCTAAATTCTTTAAATGCTTAGTCAGTGGACAGCAGCCTTTATGGATAGAGATCCACTGGTTAGAGAAAGAAAACCACTTTTGTCCATTGTTAGATACTAGTTTAATGATGCTATGGCATGACATGGCATATGTAGAAATTTATGTAAGCCAAGATTTTTAAAAAGAGCTTTAAAAGTATTATGTATAGGCTAACATGTTCATTCTGCTTTTTATTCAGCTTAGCTGCAGCGATAGATGCCTTTGTCCATATTAGGCATTTCCTGGCACGTTCTTTGAGTACGAGATCTCTTCTCTTTCAGTGCGAAAACTTCTTCTCTCTTTTCATAAAATAAAATGGTATAGTATTTAACTTTTCCACTCCATCGGTGAATAATGATTCTGAAAGAAAACGCGCCGGATGTCTGTTTGCTATAGCAACGAACGCTACTTTCATGCATCTGATTATCAGATAAACCTCGCGCTCTTATTTCAAGGTTGTTGTTAAATGCTGTGGTTATTTTAACAGTTGCCTTCGTACATTCGGTTAAACGAAATTGTTAAAACACATTTATCATTCAATGGAACTGTGCATATGCTTTAGACACTTACATTTCTGCTCCGTCCATGCAATAAATGCGCAGCCTTCTACTGCTCAGGTAATGTTGTCTGTATGACCGAGAGCCATTGAAAAACTACAGAAAAGTAAAACTACTTCACTTTAGCATTACTGGCCACGAGTACTAAGGAGAGATCACACATCAGCTGCTCAAAAAATGTGTCAGTGAGACGAACGGAGTGCGAGCGCAATCCTGTGACATTCACTGCAGGCTGTAAATAGTGCAGTGCGTTAAGGAGAGATGCGAGGGCACGAACACTGTTCAAGGGCTCCATTAATTCGTGCGTGTAGTAATTTAATGTGTATATATTGCGAAAGCATTGAATCTCTATAGAAATCGTGATTAGCGTTTTACTTCGATTACTGTCCGAAATCGACGATTCACGATTCAAAATCCATGTTTCAAGATCGATGCATATGCATCGTCAGGGTTTGTAATCGATGCATCGATAAAACGAGTGAATTGTTACACCCCTACTAAATACACGAGGCTAAACAACGTAACGAAGGAAACACAAAACACCTGTGAAACCAATCAAGAGTAAAAATTAAGGTAAGAAAAACTACAAAACTACAACTATGGCACATAAGACAGGAAATGAAACAAAAGTCCAAACAGACAGAACATATAACAGAGCCCCCTACTTAAGGATTGGATTCCAGGGGCCTTTCATAAAACAAGTTTAGTAAATAAGCCAGGCTTATTTCAGTTAGTCTGACTTATTGTCACTTGATTTGGTTTAATAAAGCAAATTTACCATAGCTCAAGCTCAGTCACTGTGGCAACTTATGCTGGGAAACGTCTCGGTTACGTATGTAAACCTCGTTCCCTGAAGGAGGGAATGGAGACATCACGTCGGTGACCGATGAATTGCCCAGCAAAATATAGCTCTACAAATATCTGTCAGTGAAGCGCCATGAGCCAGCGCCCAGGAGGATGCAACACTCCTAGTAGAGTGAGCTCGCAACCTGAGCGGGCAGGGCACACCCTGTGCCTGATAAGCCAGGGTGATGGCATCCACAATCCCGTGGGCCATCTTCTGCTTAGAGACGGCCTTCCCCTTCTGCCGGCCTCCGTAACAGACAAAGAGCTGGTCTGAGGTCCTAAAGCTTTGTGTCCGGTCTACGTAGCATCTCAAGGCTCGGACGGGACAGAGCAAAGCTAGGGCTGGGTCTGCCTCCTCCGAGGGCAGCGCTTGGAGGTTCACCACCTGATCCCTGAAGGGAGTAGTGGGAACCTTGGGCACATAGCCGGGCCGGGGCCTCAGGATTACCTGGGAGTCAGCCAGCCCAAACTCTAGGCACGAATCGTCGACCGAAAATGCGTGCAGGTCCCCTACCCTCTTGATGGAGGCCAATGCAACCAGGAGCAGAGT